GCGAGTAAACATTGCGACTCCTCGGCTCCAAGGCTCCTCGTCCTCTTCTTCCCATTTCACGACATGATTTCGTGTTTCAGGATGGTCCACGAGGGCCAGATAAGCCTCCAGAGCTTCCTTCTAGGCCTGGGGATCCTGAGTTACTTCCTTGTGACGTGCGGGTTATGGTCGCCGCGGCTCGGAGTGGCGGAGGAGTGGCTGCAGGACCACCCCTGGGTCTACTGCGGCTGCTTCTGTGCCTCCGTCAACGCCGTCCTCGCCCTGGCCTTCAGGGGCAAGAGCTGGCAGGTGGGTGGCGTTGGGAGCTCAAGGTTGAGGGACTGCAGGCTCTCCTGTTTTCTTTTGCTCATTTCGAGGATTTCTCTTTCGGAGGAGGGACAAGTGTGCTAGAGATGCTGTGGGCTTTGGGAACATCTCCTGTGGGGTTGGTCTGAGCCACAAAACATGCTTATTAATAGAGTTTAGAGCTACATTTTGGAGAGAAAACAATAGAAAAATGCAGGAGGGAAGAAGATAGGGGGTTGCCTGGGCAAAATATTCCATACAGTAATAAAATTATTGTTTCACTCATTCCATTACATTCACAAGTAAAAAGACATGGGAACTATAAATGTTTGAGGGGCTTAGGAAGAGGATGCGAGTGAGGGTATGTGGACGATTTGGTGAGTGTGGCTGGAGAAACTTATCAGACAGAACCAGGTTTTTTAGTTAACAGTACATGAACCTCACTCACAGCCAAATTGAGGTAGGAAAAAAGCCAGGAAGTTTTATCCAGCTTATGTAAGGCAATGTCACTGTTATGGTTATTAGAATTTTATAAATGCAGCAAGCCATGAGATCATTTTCACTTGAACCTTAGGGGTAAAGGATTGCATTGTTGCCATCCATTACAATAGAATTTATGAATACTGACCTACTTTATTTTCACTTGTTTTACTCATCTTATATTACAATTTAGTTTGATTCATAGATCATTGTATATGTAGTCTTATTTTATACTTGCCACATAGTTATTATTTCTTAACAATTTTTATTTTTAAGAAAATATGAACATTATTTTACACTTCAGATCCTCAGAGGATTTATCATTATTCTCAAGGGTCATTGATAGATTTCTTTCAAAAGCCTTTAACCCAATTCTGCTGGGGGTTAATCTTTATGGTTTGGACACACTAAGCTAGGGCAAATTGAAGATGATATTCTTATGGAGTACAAAAAGTTACTGTCGTCGGCACAGGAACTAATCTGCAGACACAAACGGTAACGCCACAAATAAAGGAAAAAGGTCGTGGATAGCGCCGCTCACAGCCTAAGTCCAGTCGGTGCTCCAGTGGCTAAGTCCACTCGTTCGGTGCAAAAGAATAAGATGCCGCGCAACTCGTACACCATGTTCTTTTCGTACTGCGCACCTACGTCATCACAACGTCACGACCAATCAGGAGGCGGCAGTTTAGCAGAGATTTTAATTGCTCATTAAAGTTTTAGTAAAATATTCCATATACTTTATTATGTAAATATACACGGCCATATATTTACAGTTAATATATATATATTCGCATTTTAGCCGTTTTTATGTAAAATGTTTTCATGCTTACTGTCTTAAACCTATTAAAAATTTTAATTGTATAACTACTCAAACAATACCCTCCCCATGGGCAGTGCCCGAAGGGCACGCCCAGTCACGGCACTTGGTCTGTTGAGTTTGGTTCGCATTTCCGAAAAGTCAAATTTCTTTGCATTCATAATTTCCTTTGGTCATTTACTGGCACTCAAATCAAACTGAGGCTACCCCCCCAACCCCCGGTTCTCCACGTGTCCCCCAAGATCGTTGGCTGGAATTGGGGACTTAGTCTCTAGCGAGTGCGTCCAAACCGTAAAGAATTACCCTGCTGGGAAAATGAATAAAAAATGGGGAAAATACTGTGCTCATTTTTTTTTTGGAGGGGGGGGGGATTTTCTGCATATAGATAACTCTGCTAGTGCTTAGCCACAAAGGAGTCAATGAGTAGACCTTATAACCTTACCTGATTTGAATTGGCGGGAAAAATGTATTTTTTACTAGTGCTATAAATATCCTAGTGTTATTTTTATTATAAACATTATAATTACTATAATGTTATGAACATTAGTAACAGCAAAATAAGATAATGTAAAATATTTTCGTAAATCAAAGAAAAGGGTAAAAGGGCGAGACAGGCAGTATGAATGATGTTGTGCATTAACCATTGCATGATGATACTAAAATTACAAGGAGGTTGCTTAAATTGCACTGTATTATGCTGGCTGGAAAGAAGTCTTGATAAGAATATAGTATGTGAATATCTCATGCACCTGTTTCTTTGTGTATTATGCTGCGTTCGGAACTCCTTGTCTTCCTCGTCCAGACAACTTGTCAGGACCAGCAGGACAAGGAGGCCATGATGAGATTCTCTGAGGCCTTCACTATCCACAATGCAACCAGCTTTAAGATAAACATTCACTTGTTTATTTTACCAGTATCTTTATTTCATACTCTACATAGGTTTTATAACTACTCTGATGCATAGGTAATTGATCTGTAACTGACAAACACTTTAATAAGAACAATAAAGGGCCATATAATTACCTAACATTATAATTACGGTTTCCCTGCAACTGTCATTACATACAAATGCTGTGGTGATGTCATCTCATCCTGCTCGCCTAGCTGCGAAAGAGGATGAAATGAGTAACTTGTCTCAGACACTAGAGTTGGAGTTCAGAATGGTCAAAATGTCAGCATTAGTGATAGTTGAAAATTTGACCCTTATATCAGAAAAAAAAATATTGCAAATGCCTGTAGAAATAACATTTATATATGTCACAGAATTGGTAACCATGGCAGTATCTAAGAGACAGAGTACTTTTTTTTTTATAAAAAGTCCATTCATTAAACATCCAGTCCATTTTCTCTCTCTCTCTCTCTCTCATCATCATCATCATCATTGTCATTGTCATCATCACCATCATCATCAACATCATTATCATCAGCTTTTCATTGATAACAATAAGGGAATGAAGTAAATGTATGAGGTCAGCTTAGCCTAAGAATGGACATCTAGGTCACTGATCATATTTTTTTCTGCAATTGATACCTTTATGTAACAAAGCACAAATGTAGCCAGTTATTGTTAGAAAAAAATAATGATGATAATGACACAAAACCACTGTCAACAGCCCTTCTCTTGAATACATACACTCCCAGTGACTGAAGTCATGGATTATCACCTTTTTAATTCACTGAATCAGACAGACAAGTGTTCTTTTACAGATTCTGCTATTTTTTTCTGGTAATGCAGAGTTGTGGTGTGTAATTGCATTAGGAATGTGTTAGTTACTATTACTCTGTTATAAATGCTTTGAAAAAGCTTAATCCAGAATAGTATACTTGCATTGTAACAATGCAGGTGTTGGGCTGCCAGAGGTGGTCCAGAGGGCAGAGCAGAGTTTGGGTCAAGGTGAAACCTTAGCTGTGGCAAATGTCTCTTTCCCCTCAGCTGAAAATGTCATTGTACACTTTGCTGAACAGTGTGTCATTATCCTCCTCTTACAAATCTCAGTTTTGCTTTAGATTATATGTGTAAGGCAATTGTATTGTTCCTCTGAAGGATCTATCAGGGATGTGTAAAGGAGAGGTTCAGAGTAGTTCTCACCTCAATCTCTTTTCACGGAAGGTATAACTAGTGCTTGAAAGAAAAAGGCCCATGTATTCTGAATTTGCCTTTTACATATATGTATATATATATATATATATATATATATATATATATATATATATATATATATATATATAGAGAGAGAGAGAGAGAGAGAGAGAGAGGAGAGAGAGAGAGAGAGAGAGAGAGAGATTATATATACAGTAAGTCCCCAACTTAAGAACATAATGGGGACCAAGAGGCTGTTTGTAAGTTGATTTGTTTGTATGTCGAAAATCGGGTCTCCATTACCTTTTTTTTCCCATTGTTTTAAAGTAAAAAAGTACCTGTAAATAAATCCCAATAAGTACGGCATACCTTATACAGTACCAGACTCTTGAACTATATTCATGCCTGGGAAATTTGAAGTTTGCTAGCATCTTTCAAACAATTTTTTTGATTTTAGTACTTAAAAAATTTTGTTTGTATGTATGGAATGTTCATAAGTAGAATGTTCTTAAGTAGGGGACTATCTGTATATATGTATATGTATATGTATATGTATATATATATATATGTATATATATATATATATATATATATATATATATGTATATGTATATATATATATATATATATATATATATATATATATATATATATATATATATATATATATATATATATATATATATATACACATATACATATACATATACATATACATATACATACATTTTTTTTTTTTTTTTTCCAGATAGCTGTACGAGGATGTTTCCTGGGCACAGCCTGTGGGCTAGGCGTAATGGTCAGTGTTCTCTGCAGTTCCTCATACCATGTGTTCGGTTGGTACATGGTAGTGCTGACTCTCTTCCATTACTCGGAATACATCACCACGGCCATTGGCAATCCTGCCACTCTCAGCCTCGATTCCTACCTGTTGAACCACAGTGTTGCTTATGGCCTTGCAGCTGTGGCAAGTTGGGTGGAGTTCTTCATCGAGAGGCACTTTCTGCCTGAAATGAAGACCCTGTGGTACCTCAGTACCTTTGGCATCCTGGTCTGCCTATGGGGAGAGATCATTAGGAAGGCAGCTATGCTCACTGCTAAGACTAACTTCAACCACATTGTGCAGACAGAGAGGCAGAAGGACCATGAGTTGGTTACCTGGGGTGCCTACAGTATGTTTCGGCACCCAAGTTACGTTGGCTGGTTCTGGTGGAGCATTGGCACCCAGCTGATCCTTGTCAACCCCATATGCACCATAGCCTATGCACTTGCTTCATGGAGCTTCTTCTATGAGAGAATCTATTTTGAGGAGATAACACTTATCAAGTTCTTTGGGGAGAAGTACCTTGATTACCAAAAGAAAGTAGGTACAGGCTTACCTTTTATTCGAGGGTATCAGTATGTGCGACGTGTTCGCCAAGAAAGTGAATGAGGGTATGAGTAGCTTTATGCAAGCACAAGCAGTATACCTTTTTTTCCCCCCCATTTCCATTTGATTCTTTTCTTTTGCAAAGCATCAGTTTCACTTAAAGAAGCGCTCATTATACTAACCTGATTCATTCAAGTTTGATTTTTTCATATGAAGTTGATTAGAGAATGCTGGCATTTTCTCTGATATTCAGTATATGGGTTTTCCATATGATGTTGATTAATTATTTTACTGTAATTAATTCCTCTAATATGAATAATTCTCTTATTTAGGCAGCAAACTTGCTTTCCTCGGAGCGGTGCATCA